CCTGCGCCCAACTGTCAAAAGATGGGACATTTGGTGTCCTAGATACTTTTAAGATGGAACTGTTCTACACATAACTAAAGCAAACTTGAGTTTTCTGAAGTAATATGTTGCTATTGTGCTTAATAACACCCTGTTAAGGTCAGGTTGAATGAGGCTTTGAACAACCTAGTGGGTCTAGTGGGATGTGCTATGGCAGGAGGATTGGACCTAGATGATCTTTAAAGTCCCTTCCAACCCAAACCATGCTATGATTCTATGATTTTATGACATGCATCCCCTTGGGGTGGGCGACACTGCGGCCTCGAGCTCCATCACCCGCACAACCGGGCTGGTGCCCGGGCTGCGTTGCCCGGAGCTCGGCGCGGCTCCGCGTTTGCTCTTCATAATTCAAAGGGTGCATTAATGAACGGATGATGAGGTGGCTCTCAGCCACTCGTCGGTGGCTCAGGTTGGGCACTTCTGTGGTCGTTTGGGATTCATCAGATTTGCAGCTTTGCCCTGAGCTGAAGAATGTTAAAATGCAAATCTTGCCAAATTTTTTTAATGAGCTATGACTGCGTGTGGCAGGGCTGGGGGGGAGGGGAGCCGTGGCCCTCGCCCTTTGGAGGCCGCCTGCGTGTGCCGGACCGGTGACGTTTTGTGGTTTGGTACATCACGAGAGCCACGTAGCTGGGTTTGCCATCCCTTGTCTCCTAAACCGTGCTGTGCCACGCCGGGAGCTGCTGGTGACTTTCCACAAAATAGCCTCCGAGAGGTTTGCACAGGCTCAGCCTCCCCAATCTGTTGGGGGTTCAGGGATTTGGGCACCGATGGTGCAACTGCTGTGCTGGAGGGACGTGGTGTGATTTACTGTGCTGTTGCAGCATGAAGCATCACTCACCAGCTCGCCCAGGCAGCGCCTTTTCTAGATGTCACTAAAGCATCCAGAAAAGTGCCTGGAAGATGGATGTTCCTGGTGCTAAAACATGCAGGAGCGGGCAGCGTCCTGCCTGACCTCCCTCCGTCTCGTCCTGTCCTTGCAGCCCCGAGCAGAGCAGGTTGGCTGAGCTGGAGGAGCAGGCCAAGAGTGCCAAGAAGGGCATGTGGAGCGAGGGAACGGGCTCCCACACCATCCGGGATCTCAAGTACACCATCGAAAACCCCCGGCACTTCGTGGACTCCATGCATCAGAAGCCAGTCAACGGTAAGCTGGCACCAACTCACTGCTTGGACTTGTCCCTGTCCCCTGTCCCCTGCTCTTCCTGGCACCCTCTCACCCCAGAGAGCTGGC